ATTCATTAAGAGAATGCAACTATATATCTATCCCAACCACTTTGAATACACAGATACAAAATGGACATTCATAGTTATATCCCAATTTTTTAAGTTCCTTTGTTGAATATTATAGGTGTGTAAACTCAGCAAAATATTCTAAAAGAGTCCAGTAGCCCATAATAGCATTGGGTCTTCTTAAGCTTCTCTTCTATAGCATGAAGGGAAACCGAGAGCAGCTGACCCTTCCCTGAGGCAGCTTCAGAAGACTGTGTCTTGGGAGAGAAAGGTCTCATGTGTTTGGGGCCCCTCTGTCAGCCTGGTTCCCCAAAGCTGAGTGCAGCCCCTCCCCATCAATAAGGAGAATCCCCTGAAATCTCACTGTGTGGGGTCCAAGTGTCCAACCTGCGGCCTGTGCACATGCCGTGTGTGGCCCTGGACGTCTACTAATGGAGCTGCCCCCAAAGATGTTAAGCTCTTAACATCGTGCTATGATTTTCTGCAGTATTTTTAAAGTCGCTTGCTCAAGCCAAGAAGTTAGATACCCAGGGCTTAAAGGTTTATTTCCCACCTCCACACTGTCCCCTATCTTGAAAATCTACCAAGATAATACCCCAAAGAAAATCTCACAGTGGAGCCTATCAAAACAGTCCCATTTTTGTTTTGTTTTTCTGAAGAGAGCTTTAGCCACAGACTAAGTCTTTTTGCATGGAAAGAGACGGGAGCAGGCCAGCCACTCAAAAATAGGAAGAGATTTTATGTAAAATGTCGTGGGACTCCAGTGTCTCTGTGAATCCACAGGAGAGTTAAGAGCTTTCGGGCTGAGGACAGCACTGAGCTTCGAGGTCTTGGGCAAGTTCATACCCCTGAGCTTCTGTACCTTGCTCCAAGCCCCAGCTGTGGAGGATGTGACCAAATTCCTAGCACAGGTCCTGGCCCCTAAAATAAAAGGTAAAAGTGCAGTAAAGAAGGAATGCAGTAGGTGGCGATGGCGGGGCAGGTAGAAGTAGAGGAGGTAGCGGTGGGCGCCAGTTGATTTTATGCCTGTGGGATTTTGCTCAACACAACAGTCCCGAGAAACATGCTCACGATTCCACATGGTTTCAAAAGAGAAGCAAGGGGCTCGTGCCTAGGGACTGCAAAGATGGGACCGATTCTGAGATGCTGGGCTTAGCTGCTTAACTTCAAAGCTCTTTGCAAGTTCAAAACGAGCGACCACCATGCTGGCGTTGGACTCCAGAGAACACAGTTTTGTGCTGCGGTTGTGAGAGGACCTGTGGGTCGGGCGCTGTGGGGAGAAGGGATGGGCGTAGTGCCCTGGGGAAGGATTTCTCAGAATTCTCTTGGGCTAAATAGAAACCCGTGTTTCTGCCCAAAGTGATGAAACCCATGCACGGCAACTGCTTGAACATTGGCCTGGCGTCCTGAGGTCGTGGACTGGGGGAGGGCGTGGGGGTCCACACAGCCCAGACACGTGACCGGGGACAGGCGCCCCCCCCCTCCCCCGCCCGAATGCAGAGGCCCCGGCGGTGTGCTGGTGGTGTGCATGCCAGCCTCTGTGTGACATCTGTGTTCATGTGCTTGTCATGGGCAGCCAGAAAAGTAAATCTGAGAGGCTCTTCCGAAATTCCCCGTGAAAGTCACCACAGGTGAACTCGGCATGGACAGATATCCCGGCTTCTTCCCAAAACAAAGCCTCCAGATTTGGCGCCACGAAGTACTCATCCTATTTCTAGTGCACTTTCCAGTCATTTGTCCTTTTTTTTTTTTTTTTTTATCTTATGTACAGCCAGTGTTTGAGAGCATCAGTAAAGCTAGAATTAGTATTTTTGACGTATGGTCAAAAATACAACTCTCTGATCCATCTTTAAAAAACAAAAATCTAACATGGGTAAATTATTTTTCTTCACTCAAAGTCTCTAAGTTCAATTCCATTTTCACCTTGGGCATAAATAAATTCTGAATATAAAGAAAAATCACAAATTTTGCGATAAGTTTTGTGTGTATTGATCGCAACAAGAGCCCCCTAGTAACCACCCAAGAGTCACAAGAACTTACCTTCTGTCACAAAAGAGAGCCGCAAAGGATTTACCTTTCAGCAGGTGTCCCATGACCACAAAAGTAATGAGCTTCAGCTTCTGCCATCAACCACAGTGCAATTAAGTTTTTTTCTTTATTGAAAAAGAAGGAAAAAAACCCGCAGGTGCTGCAGTTTTCAGTGTAAAAATTGAAAAAAAACCCAACTGCTGTCTGACGTGTCCCAGTGGGGCCAGCACTTTGGGCCCAGCCCCCAGCCGCCTCTAATGCCAGCCTGTCTTCCAGGTGCGTCTTCGCCTGCTCGGCCGGCCACCCCTTCGGTCCCTTGCAGTGGCAGCAGTACTCCACCACCACCTCCTCCCCGCCCTCCGTCTCGACCAAAGCTGCCTCCAGGGAAACCTGGAGTTGGAGATGTGGTACGTGCCCCTCTGCCACCCCATCTAGACAGTGCAGCCCGAGACACAAGACCTCGGGTTACCCTAGCATGGACCCCTCTTCGCCCTCGCCACTAAGGCTGAGCATTAGGGCACCCATGTGACCTCACAGGTGGCTTGGGAAGGGTCCCAAGTGGTTTTCAAGCTAAGGTATAAGGTGACCAGGATCCTGAGACCCTCAACCTGCAGTGGAAGAGGGTGGAGTGCGTTGTGCTAAACCCTTTAGAGAGAGACATTTCCTTTCCCAAGATTTATGTGGGTTTGTCAAACTCCAAGTGAGAGCAAGAGTTGGCTTTTGACCCTATTGTAATCCTGGTTTTTGAAACCAAGGCAGAATAATTATGGGTCATTGGCACGCTGAGTGACCATTAAGAGCAGAGGGGCGGCCCAGCCCAACGGATCGCTGGAGTTCTTGTGCTCTTAAGGACAAGGGGTGGAAGACGTTCTGTTAAAGTAGCTAAGAGACTTGCAGCAGAGATAAATTTCAGCGGTATCTGTGTGCAGAAGCCACAAGCAGCGACATCCATGAGGCTTAGATCACGGCTCAGCCAGCAGAGTCCAGGACCTTGGCTTAAGTATCTTGAGTGGTGAGCGAGCTGTGTACTGCACGGCTTGCCCAGGCCCTGGGGCCTGTGGGACTGCAGGTTCCATGCTTCTCTCAGCCTAGTGTATATATTGAGTTTTGCAAGCTATGAGTAGGGACTCACCTACCCAGGCCCACTCCCCTGGGTACACACGGCCCACCTTAAGGTGGACAGGCAGTCATTGGAGGCCCTTAGAGCCCGAGTTGTCCTACCCGGGGCTGGGAGACCTTGACCCCAGAGAAGCGAAGTGTCTGCTGTGCATCTAACTCTCATCTCTTCTCTCCTGCCTGCAGCCCAGACCCTTTAGCCCACCCATACACTCTTCCAGCCCTCCTCCGATAGCACCCTTAGCCCGGGCTGAAAGCACCTCTTCAATATCGTCAACCAACTCCCTGAGTGCAGCCACCACTCCCACAGTTGGTAAACAAGCTCTCCTCTCTTTTCATCTGTTTGTGGTGTTAACCGGCTATTTCTTATGACCCCAAATCCCTGAGGCCTGTGTTTCTGGTTGAAATTGTTCTGCTGTGTGTTGTGCTCCTGTCATCTGACTTCTCAGCAAAAGAGGCAAAGCGCTTCCCAAAAGCACAAATAACAAGAATGTGAGCTCTGGGCTCAGGCTGTTTCCTATGCTGCTCCCTACAGAGCTATTTGCCAAAGTACGTATGGGTGAAACCAGCAGGAAGGTCCTGTGGCTCATTGTTCCTCACAATACAGATCATCTCCTTTGAAGGAAAATGTTTAAATTCTGACCATGTACCATATCAGAAATCATGAAATTGGTTTGTTTTCTGGACGCTTTGTTTTCTGGATGCAAAATGATTGCTCCAATCATTTTGGGGTCGTCCTGAAGTGGACAAACAGTATCAACACTGGCATTGTGAGACTTGCGCAAATTTTTTGACATTTATTTTTCTAGTGCTTTTTTCGTGCTGTGTAGTTACTTTCCCCAGAATCATAATAATAATGATAAGTCATTGCTGGCATTTCAGGTGATTGTCCTCAAGCCTCTTCCTGGGTGTCATGCGGAAGGAAAGGGTTGGTGGTGTCTGCCCAGCAGGACCAGTCCCAGGTGCACTCGCCTGGTTTGCCCCCACCTCCCATCAGCCCCGGCTCTCTGTCCCCTTCACTGCACTGTGTCTGGAGGCTGGGGTTTTCCCTCCCTGTCTCCCAGGTAACCTTCCTTCCAGCTGTCCTGTGTCATCCAGACCCCGCCCCACTTCCTCAAGTTACCAGCAAGCGCCCTCCTCCTGCCTTGCTGCCCCGATGGGGGCAGCTTCATCCTAGCCTGGCCCTCTCTGGATGAGAACCATCTGTTTCCCCAGAGAAACCAGCAGAGGCGTGCCTCCTCTTACAGGGCCCAGGGGAATGTCACCTCCACCACATACTCTCGATTCGACCACCGCGAAGGAATTCATCAAAATGCAGGCAGCTAGCAGCTTCGTGTGAGGTCCTGTCCTGCAGCTGACACTGTGTAGCCACATCTGTCTCTCGTCTTCACCATCAACTGGGGCAAAATGGGATTGCCAGTCTTTCGAGCCTATTAGCTCATTTCTTTCTGACGTTTCTTGTCTCGTCACCTTTATTTCTTTTAACCTTTACTCTCCTTGATTTCACCATCCTCCCCCCACTGACTTGCTTTCTCAGGGGTTTTGTCTGCCATGCCCCTCCCATCCGTGTGACTTGCCTTCTAGTCACAGAGGAAAGCCGAAGTGAAGAGTCCAGGGGAAGCACACCCCAAGGAACCCCGGAGGAGCCAGCTAGCGCCTCTTTTCAGTACTGTGATTCTGTGAGAACGCCACACGCACAGGAAGCTGGGACGGGCCCACGCTCTGGAGCAGCGTCTCTAGCCTCCTGTGGCACAAGTGGCAGATGCTGGCCTGTGACTCCGACTCGCAACACACCTGGGATGTGTTCTTGCCAGATGAGCCACACAGGGTTCAAATAGCCCCCTGAGAGGATGGGCACTTGGCTTCGCTGCCGAGGAGCACCCTGACCCCACTGCTCGCCTCTGTGGCATTTGTATGCTTTCATCTGTCCCCCTCAATTCCTCCCCACTGTTTCTCCTGTCCTCCTCGGGTGGGTCACCTGACAGACAGCCCCTTCTCTCCCAAGTAAAGCTGCCCTGGGGCCGAGCGGCAGCAGCCGTGGGGCTGGCGCTCCTTGCCAGGATGTGCTTAGGCTGCTGTGGGCCTGGAAGGCCAGCTTGCTGCCCTCAGGCCACCCAGGGCGGCCTGCACTTCCAGGCAGAGCCCCAGGCTGGGGTCACAACCTTTCCCTGCCACAGCCCAGGCCCAGGGCGTTGCTGCCATCCCTTTCTAGGGCAGCTGAGCCATACTTGGGGCAAGGACATGGGAACAAGTGAACCAACTTTGATTTTTGAGAACTAAATGTTCAATGGCAAATCTAAGCTTTCTACATATATAAGGAAATGTCCCTCAAAGGCTGTGGATATGAAATTTTTCATAAAAGTTATAATGTAGAGCTGTAAATCTGATACGTGAGAAAACAGAACTCTATATATTATGTTTGTTTGAGTTTAAGACAGCCACAACTTTAAAATGCATCATTATCTTATACACAATTAAGGGGAGGAACTGCCCTTTGCAATAAGATTTTTTTTAATATTAATTCTAAAACCCACCCCAATTTTAAACAGCTGAGAAGGTGAACACATGCACCTCAGAATCAGTGAAATACAGGAAACGCCCGCACTAGGTAAAGCTCACGAGACCACGCCGTACAGCCTGGAGAGATATGAGCATGAGGAGGACAGGGACAGTGTGGAATCCTATTCTAAGAAACAAATTCCTAGACAGAAAATACTAGAAATAATGTAAGTAGGTTTTTTTAATTATTGCAAAATCTTCCTTAAGCTACCATTGCAAAGAGACCACAGAAAGAATTTTTCTTCTTTCTGAATTCCACTGTAAATTATATTCCTTAATTAGTAATTATGCATTTTAACTTTACATTTTTAACACTCCAGGCATCTGCACTGGGGGAAAAGTAATCTCCTGTGGCAACCACAGAAGGTGTCCGATGGGTTTTGATGTTTCCTTTGGTCTAGAGCATTGAGCAAAAATGATTTATATTCAGTAACATAACTGTAGCATCTGGAGTACAAACTATTTCCCCCAAGATGGATAGCAACTCCAGAGTTTTCTTTTAAAAAAAATGTATCAGTATCAATTATTCTGCACAAAATGCTATTTTATGGGAAAGGCCCGTCCCATAGATCTTCCCAGATATTGTAGGACTTGTCCAACTTATTCTGGCCAGTAAAGAAGCTTAGTGTGATAATGGGCAGGTGACATCCTAAAACCTTAAGAAATGACAAGAGGTAGCTTCCGTGCCCTGTTCCTAAGGCCCAGGCAACAAGTCAACAGAACGCTTCCGCACAACACTGCGGGCTGTTTGTCCACCCCTTTTACGTTCTCGAGTTCTTGATCTTGTACATTGGTCTTTGTACGGCTTTTATGGAATTTTCTATTAAGGTTGCAATCACGCTCTAAGGCTGGTAGCATCATTGTCTCTTTCTTCACATAGTCTAATAGCCTCCATCATCGGCATTTGCTAGTTGCTGAGACAAGAAGCTAAGTAAAGATCTGACAGCACTGAGGACGGGAGCCACCATTCATAATGTTGGGTCCAGTTCCCAAAGCTGCAGTTGGATACTGTAGCCAGAGATGGGCTTATGAGGATACAGCCCAAATTAACATCCCGTGGCCACCAAAGGCAGGGGCAGGGCAAATGGAATCTGGCTGCTGGCGAGGTTGAGCCGGGGCAGTTCTTGCCAGGCCCTGAGACCCGCACTGTGCTGGCACGGCCGTGTGGAAAGCCCGACTCTTTTCCCCAGCGTTGTGTGTGCAGTGATTCTATCGAGCTGAGGAGACCCTGTTAGGAGCACCCAGTGGGTGGCTGGGGTCCGGCCCCTTGAGGCTTGTGTGGGAGTGGCATACACTTGCACATGTCAACTATGAATGCCGGTGCTGTAACATCTCCTTCAGGAAGGGGGCCTTTGTCCGAGGTCCTCACTTCTGCCAAATTCACAGATGCTACAATCTGGCATTTTTCAGATCTTAGTTCGTTCTCATAGAATCATCAATAGAATCATCAGCCGAGAAGCACGTCACTTTCTGTATCTTGGTCACAATTCCAGTGTCGCATTTCCTTCTTCCATGAAAGTCTTTCCTGCATTCCTGTCAGTAAAGTGCACTGCTTGATTTCATTTGGGATTTGTTATTTGTGTTTTTGTTTTCCATTCGTTTATGTTTCTTTGGTTCGTAGTGTCAGAAGATGATGTTTTTTATGACAAACTGCCCTCGTTTGAAAGGCGCTGTGACACGCCTGCAGGTATGGTGCTAGCCGAGTGATCTCTAGATATTTAGGTTGAAAAACTCCAAGCCATTACCCATCTGAATGCTGGAAACTCCATAGATCTGCTCCTCACCTCGTGGGTGTCCAGTGCCTCTCGGGTGCCCCCGTCCATTTACCGCCCAGCCACTGCACTCCAGTACCGTTCCACTCCAGTGGAACTCAGGCCACTGAAGCGTTTTTAAGTGGACATATTGAAAAGCATCAGGTTGCATGACAGTTTCTCAGTGAAAATGTTCAAAAAGGTGAGGCCATTGCTTCATGAATTTCCAAAGGAAGAAATAATTTAACTGCTCAGAATCACATGCCTGCTGACTGCTTTTGAATTGAGAGCATAGCGGCGCACCCCTAGAGCACACTCTCTCTTTGGTACTGAGGTGAAGGGTGTGTCCTGTGTACGGGTGCCTAAGCTGATGCCGGTGGAGGGGATGGAAGGGCCACCTGCTCTTCCACGGACTTTATGCTGATACGCAGGGCTGGTGTCATTGAAAAGCTAAGCGGACATTTCAGACAGCCACGACTCTGAGTTTATCTTTTCAGAAACCTAGAATGGGATGACACTGAAGATGAACTTGTTACAGCGACTGCTGAATGACAGTTTGCCCAAATCAGTGCAGTTAAAAGACGCTGGCACCCCTGCATGGCCAGGAAGACGTCCGCCCCCGCACGCAGCACCCAGGGTCCAGCTGCCCACCGCTGCGCCCAGCCCTGAGGCTTCCACGCTTTGCTTTCGCTTTCTATCTCCCCAACTAAAAAAGCCTAGACCGCCAGCCTTCCCTGTCTCCCTGCACGCCACGGGCATGCAGCGCCTCCGCCCCTCCCCGGAGTGAGATTAATGACCTGCTCTGTAACTCACGTTTTGTCCTTCTCTCTCCCTCTCCCTAACCTTTCCCATCCCGCTTCAACTCCTGGCCATACAGAGAATGAACAGCCTTCCCTCGTTTGGTTTGACAGAGGAAAGTTTTATTTGACTTTTGAAGGTAAGTAGTGCATAGCATACCGGATTCTAACTCCCGCTCCCCGTCCTCCTCCCCAGTGGCTTTCAGAATCCCAGTTCTCTTCAAAGTTCTGATCTTGCTTTCTACATTAAAAAAGAAATGCTATGGCTACTTAGAAAATTTTAATGGCCAAAGAAAACGTGACATGAATTTGGTTTGTCTGTGATGTTCAATTCTTCATATTGAATAAATCAAAGCGAATTTGCAATGAATACTTAAGCTAATTATGATCAACTAAAACAAAACAAAACACACCTTCTTTCTTACCAACGAACTTAACTCTGTCAACCAGGGCTCTTTCCTAACTCTTGCAAATGGAATGCAACAAATACGAGGCCATTTTGGTTAGTACTGGCATTTAGCTTTGTTTTGGATACTTGATATACCAGGCATAGCATCCATTCTCATAGATGGTAGATGTGTGTATATTCTTATGACAAGGTATGTCTAGGACACTAGAGAAACATGAAAAGGGCTGGGGAGATAGCACGGTGGTCTAAGCACCTGACTGGCAAGCCCAAGGACCAGGGTTTGATCCCCAACACCGCATGTTCTATCAGCTCTGGCACCCCGGGCGTGCTGTGCTGGCCACCGAGACTGAGCATGGGGGTACAGGCCTATAATCCCAGTGCTGAGGAGGCTGAAATGGGAGAATCACTATGGGTCTGAGCTCCCAAGTGAGACCCTGTACCAAATAAATAAATAAGCAAATGTTAGGGTTTTTTAATTAAAAGAAAAACATGGAAAAATAGGAAGATTACAGTAGGCTTGATTTGCAACTGAAATGACTACAGTGAAATGGACAGCTGTTGTTGGACCTGCCATTTCAGGGAAATACTGAAAAATAGACATTAATATGGTATCAAATTTTTAAACTCAGTGTTTGGTAGTTATAACCTGAATTAAAAACTAACATTCTTCTCTTTCATATTGAAGTTCTAAATCATCCTAGCAGGTCTGGTATTTGATAAATGGCCCACTTCAACTGATTGTGCGGGAGGGGGATTCGGTCATTTAACTTAATTAATGGGCCATCTGCCACACAAGGATTTACCTATAAACCCCTAGTTGCTAGATTTTAAATAACTAAATTTAATCCTGAAGTCAAAAGTTGGCCAAGAAATACTCTATTCCAGAACCCAGTCTCAATATTGAACTTGTCTGTGTGTTTAATGACAATAAGTGGAATTTTCCTAACTCAGGTATATGATTTAATGCAATTTTTAAAATTAGAATGGTTGGTACTGTATATATAAAATTATGCCTTTTTTTCTCTCAACAGTGAAGTTTGTTTGCAAGGTGGCCCTAGACACAGGAACCCTTAGCTCAGAGTAGTGTGGGAAGGTGTAAGAAAGATGGTCCGATTTTGAGCTTTTCGGATACCCCAATGTCATTTCCAGCTTCTGCAGTGGGCAGGTCCAAGCAGTCCTCTTGGGGAGATGCATATTTTCCTTGTGATATCAATTATCACAATTACGTTAACTCATTAATCGTCTAATATCCAAGATACGAGGTCCAGGACGTGTGGCCTCCTAAACCTAGCTTGAATCAGGTGGAACTAAAAAGTGTCCAGACAGCATGTGTGTGACTGAGGAGGCTGAGAAAGGAGCGCATCAGGCTGTGGTTCTACTCAGAAGGGTCCCGGAAGCTTTGCTCCGCTGAAGCTATAATCTATCCATCCTAAGCTGGGAAAAGGAAGCATGCTGGGTACGAACGGGGCTGACGGTTTAAGCTCATCCAAGAGCAGATCCTGTTGATCCTCTCAGTGGTCCTTCGAAGTGAAGGAAAGATATTTCCGTGACAAATGGGCCTGCCTGGCATTTGCACAAATTCCTAGAGCATTTGAGGGTCAAGATGTGCCCACACATGTGCTGTCTCTCTCCTGAGTTGGCTTCTATAACTGCACATCTCTCTTGTATGTGGTGGTGAGAAAACAGATGACTACTTGTCATCAGAGGGCTCTGAGTGTCCCATGTCTCGCATCGGCATGACCTTCGGTCTTCAGCCTCTCCCTCCCCATGCAGCCACCTCCTGGACACCCCAGCTCTCGTGTGCCGAGTTCTACCCTAGCGACACCCTTCTCCAGTGAGCACACTGTGTACCTTGGGCTTCCATACCCAGCTGCTGCTGCCTTTGCCAGTAATGCAGGTGCCATCCCGGGGTGCCTTCGGCTCCGTCCACACTCACACAGCTCACGTAGACCACACAGCTCTGTCCACACTCACGCAGCTCACGTAGGCCACACAGCTCTGTCCACACGTAGCTCACGTAGGCCACACAACCACGCAAGGAAGAGCGACTGTCATTGCCACCTTGTGGATGAGCAGGGCCGCTGAGAACTTAGGTCACTTTCCCCAAGTTAGACACCTAGTCAGTGGCTAAATGAACCCTAGGAGTTAGTATCAAATCATAAAAGTGGTGTTTGTAATCACTGTGAGTGTGTATCGTTCAAGAACCATTAATCTTGAGCAGATAAGGTCTGATTCTAGGCTTTAGCATCTTTAAAATGTAAAATATAAGGCCTTCCTGGTGAGATATTAAGCTAAAATCAAATAAGATAATTCTTTATTAAGGTACTCTGCAATGTTAATTCTTTTTTATTATCTAGGCTTTGAGAATGCATTCAAAATGAGAAGAGTTAAGAGAAGAGCTCAGGACTAGGTTCTGTGCCCGCCATGCACCCTTTTTGTATTTCTAGTACTTTCCCTCTCTCTAATGTGACCTGTCAGCCCTCTGGTGGTGACCAAGCGCAGGATTTTCTGGTTTGTCCATCAGAGCGGTTGATAGCACATGTCTTTGTCTTCTAGCTGAAGTGCTTCAAATAGGGAGCTATTCTTCAAGTATCCCTCACTCACAAGAAAATAAACGTACTCCAACCTGGACAGCTTTTGGGTTTCTTCTGATAGAAGCATTTCTTCCCCAGAGAGGAAGGGATGAGTCCCCAGGGTGTGCCACAACTGCCCGGGGGCAGAAGTCAATGAGAGACCCGGTTTCTGTCTGCCTGGGTTACCAAATGGAGAACTAACACACCTAGCAGGAAGTTTTACAACTTTGAAACCTGAAGTGTAAGTTAAATACTCCAACCTGGACAGCTTTTTGAAATGGGCCTGAAAGTGAACAGGACAGAAAATTTAAAGATTGGCTTATTTATTCCTTCTTTCAGAGGCGCGTAGCTATTCCAGGAGGTCTGCTTGGCTACCGACTCCTCTGTGGGGGGATAATGGTCAAACAGAATGGCCTCCAGGAAGCCCCAAAGCCTGGAGAGTTCACGGCCTACAAAAGGCACACGGGACCAAGTGCCAGAGCAGAGCCGCAAATCGGTCCAGAGAAGTACGAAAGAGATTTTTTTAAACTAGAAAGAATCTGGAATAAGTTCCCAGAGGAAGACAGATTTGAGCTGTTTGAGATTCAAGGACAGACAGGACTTCAGAGGGCCAAGGTGGCCCGAGGGGCAGAAAACACTTGAGGAAAGGCCTTAGGGCCGGCAACGGCATGCCGTGGCGGGGAAGCCTCACGGAGCAAGGCGAGGGCTGCATGGAAAGAGGCACAGCAAGGCGAGCGGGGATCCTGCCCTGAAGAGACAGGGTTGCGTCTTTACTGGGAGAAGGAATTTAAATTGCAGGCCCTACACAAAATGAAATTTTGAGAATGTTTTGAGAAATAAACATCAGGTTTTAATCATCAGAAGTAAGGAGACACTTAAGTATCTAGGTAGCATACATCCACAGTAGATGCACTATGGAAATTTGGGGGCGTCGCTTAGAGGAGAGGGATGAATCCGTAGAAGTGGCGGCTGAACCTTGGGGACGCTTGTACTCGGGAGCCGTACAGGGAGGAGAGCACATTTGGAACCCGGAACCTGCTCTACTGTACTTTTCTTTTTAAAAGGTGATTAATTTTGAATGTGATAGTCATGGCTATGATTTTGTAGAATATTTGAATGGTCCAGAGCTTGCTGGCCTGTTGTCTTCAATGCCCAAGCCTGAGGCAACACCCACGCGGCCAGGCTACCTCTGAGTGAGCCCACGTGAGCACCAGACAGGGAAATCCCTGCCATCCCCAGGAGAGCTCGGGCAGCCCCTGGCTGTTGTGTAGATACAAGTTTACTCAGGGCTTGGGCTCCGCCCATTTTCCCAACTGCTGCCCACAAAGCCCTCCCGACTACTGAGTGCTGGGATCCACATACACTGGGTGATCTTATTTTCTTCTTCCTTTTTCTTATTTATGATACTCAAGCATGAATATCAAAACAATATGGACTGAAGGAATATTTATGTTCCTTGTCCACATCAAATAAAAATCAACAAGCTTGTAGAGACTTTCAGAAATTAAGATACTTTGCATTTCTTTGCTTATAAATAGGCAGAACGCTGTTTTATGGGACACTTCATTTTTTCTTTTCCATGTAGCAGAAGCTCTGGGGGACAGTTTCAAAGTTCTCTCCCCACCCCCTCAGTCTGCTTGCAGGTGTAGAAGTCACGCTCAACTACAGGACTGAGCTGTGCTTTCGTGGTAGTGTGCTTGGACTCAACATACTCCTCGTGACGACTCCAGGCTGCTCATGTTGTGCCCATGGCTAGCATTCTTTAGCAAAAGACAGGATTATCTTACAGATCTTCTGCACTTGTACAAAATTAAATATGATGAATACACAACAAAATGTGAACTCTTTCTGTGTTCACTGACTCTGCAGTAGGTGGACATCAGATAGGGAAAACAGCGAACACGTTTGCAGAGAGCAGCATTCCCAGGGCTGCAGCCCGGGCACGTGGTGCTGCGCCGTGTTCGCTCCACAGCCTTTGTTTACTGAGTGCTTGCCGTGGGCGTGCTACTGTGACAACCTTGTGAAGGAAGACATGGCCCTGTCCTCACAGGACGCAAGAACCAAACGTTAAGCAGGCGGTAACCATAACGCCTAAGAATATTGTGAGTAAGAAGACAGGGTGCTGCAGAGGGTCCAGCAGGGACTCCTAACCTGACCT